TAATAAATAAATTTAGAAATCGCACATTGCCGGGCCAAATACCTGCAAATGGATATTTTTAGCTAATATACCGTAATTTTATTACTATTAAAATTATATTATTATGTCTTTTAATTATTTTGTCTATCAATTACTGTAATCGGTAAAAATTGTGTGATTACTTAAAACTATTTACAATAATAAGCCCTTTATTTTGAAATTTACAATTCTTTTCAACTAAAATATATATTTTTACAATAGATCTCTAATGTCATTGTGCCTTTTGGCATAGGCCTCCGCCAGCGCGCTATTTGGTTTCTATCATGCGCCACTATTCTCTATTTTGTGCCCACTGTTGACTACAACTCTTCCCATTTCATTAACTGCCTGCCCCTCTTTCTCTTTCCGTTTCTAGGATACCATTCTGTTATTCTTCTACTCCATTTTGCTTTGTGTCACGCATCATGGCACACCGTATCTTGATCTGTTTTTGTCAGTATCAACCTCGACCGGTCCAGGTCCAGTCGTCGAATGCCTGTCATACTTCTCTCCATGGCCCTTTAGAAGATGGCTAGTTTTGCTCTATGAGATTAAAAACTAATAACGAATGAATAACCCTGGACAATAAAAACATAATACACATAGAAAACACCAGACCAATACAAACAATCATACTCATCAATACAAATGTTTGTAAAACAAAACTACTCTGTTATTTATTCATATCCCTAGATTTGTACATTGTAAACATTGACAACATGTCCATTTCAAAGACAAATTGCTAGACGAGCCAGAAGTTCCTATACTGTGTATATTTAACGACAGACAGACAAAACTCACAATTTGTTATTATACATATGACATGTGTACCGATCATGCTGATTGCAATTTAAATGAATTGTATAAATTTGAATATTTTAACGATAGATAAGTTAATTTGGGTTAAGTGTGACTTCATTTTGTGTTAGCAATTAGTGAAGTCGATATATGTGATATAAACATAAACAATTTTTTTTTTAAATTGCGTTAAATAAAAATTAACTACGATATTGAGTAATTTTGGTTCTGGGAACCCAAATTTTGCATATATAGTAAAATAAATTTTACTTTATCAGAAACGAACCAAGGGGTAAGTTACGAGTACTTATTACTTTTCTAGATGTCTTTTTAAGAAACTACAGAATACAGTATAGCACAATAGAGTGCAGTGTTTCTAATAGTGCCATATATTCTTATAAATTACAATAATAATCTCGTGACAATTCACACAGCGCCATCTAGACCCAAGTTAAGCTAGCTAAAGCTTGTGTTATGGATACTATATAACTACACAAATACGTAGATATACATAGAAAACATCCAAACCGATATAGACCACCTAGTCCGTCAATTATATATATAATAAACAGATTATTGGTATACCAACAACCTGAGAACCCTGTGTTCTATGATCTGTTCATTAACAACACACGCAATGATTTAATCTATCTATGTACTCATGTAATTATTTCATCTCATCACTCCACGCGTTGATTGTACTTAACAAAACGAACATACAAGTGTAATATAACTATTATAATGACTAAGTACTCCGTGGGAACATTGATATGCAGAGAAATATTATTCGTCTCACTCTTTCTGGCATTAACATATTTTATATGGTCGTCTCGCTCCACTAAAATTCGTGACTCTACAATATCGTGTGGGGAATGTCGTGTAATTTTGTTATTTTCGAACGATAGCTTAATATAATACTTGTGTATTTTTATTGACTTAACTTACATATTAATGCATAATCTGTAATCGTAATATATGTACAAAAATTGCGTGTCACGCTGTTCGTACGTGGTGGAATACTAAAGTACTTAACCGATTTTGGTGAAATTTTATGTTAACCGTGGGTTTGAGAATGGGTTGTTATATATGTTTTATACCCCTAAATGATAAGAATGGTTTACCCCAAATTAGAGTGTTTTTTTATTAATTTTTGGCATATTAATAAAAAATATGCCAAAAATTAATAAAAAAAATTCAGCATTAAAAATATTGTACTTTTCAGATTCAGTTGGTTAGAAATCCAACTTAAAATTTTTCACCCTTCTACCGTCAATCCCTATTTTTAATAGCTATTTTTAATTTTTATAATACAGACATACCAACCCATTAATACTAAATTTGCATACTGCAAGGATCGAACTCACATTCATTATAGATATTAGTTTTTGAGGTAGCGTGGAAACCGCTACATTACCAAGGTTCAATTAATAAGTAGGTGACTTGTTTTTAACAGATACTCAATCACAAATAATCCTTCAACATAGGGCTGTTCAAAAACTAGTTTAACTTTAACATAATAAACTTGAACATGAATGAAATTATTGTCATAACATCTCCCTTTGAATGGGCACACACACAAACGGAAAGGGTTTAAAAACGATGCGTAGGCGCAGGCGTAAAAGATTGTATAATAGCCTGTGTACTACGGCAATATTAGAAATGCAGTTCATGAAGGCGCCACTAGTCGTACATTACCTATCTCGTTGATGGAACATATCGTGTTTCCCAAGTTTGTCACACGCAAACGTAACTTGGTTATTCGCTAAGTTATAGCTATACGAATACCATAAAATATGTCAAGAAGTAAAATTGTGAACTCGTAAAGCTTTTTGTTTAAAAAAAGAATATTAGATTCTTTTGTGTTTTAAATTATAGATACTCGAAAAATGTGTCGGGTTTCTGAAACCATAGCTTATTACTCATTTAAAAAAGGAACACTTAACCACAGAGTAGAAAAAACCTGCATATTTATTCCTACTGGCCAGTTTGTCTGTACTTTTTATCGTAAAAACATAGAACGAGTAATAAAAAAGAAAATCTACATTTTGTATTAAAAATACCTTTATCAAATAGGTACCAGCACATATTTTATTTCATTTATAAAGTTATTAAAATAAATACAAGTATTATAGAATGTGAATAGATTTGTTTCCAAATATCTATTTTTATTCTAATCCTTTTAATATAATCAGTACGTTACATATCTCCCTACGTTTAATAATATAACGTAGTGATTACATACTCATTGCGTTTACGATTATAATATTTGTGGAGTTACATATTAAAAATAATAATGATATATTTGTTAACATATTTCTTTATTTCGAATAAACTGATATATTAACTTGGATAATTAAAAAGGCCAGAGAGGCCATGTACTAATAACATACACAATTACACAGTACAAAACTTACATATGTACCTTTTCCGGGATAGCAATGTAAACGAGAAAGGTAAATTTTTTTCTTTTATTTGGTTGTTTGGGCTATTGTCAGGTGCTTGGACCTGTAGCACTACGACCTATATAGATCTATTGTCTCGCCCTTTCTCAGAGTTAGCTATATAGACCCGTCAGGGTCAAGAATTGAAGGATATTCTTAGGAGTGATGGTTTTATCTCCTCAGGATAGAGTATAAATTTTTTAAAGAAGATATTTCGTTTATGCATGAGTGGGATGTGTAGTAGTTTTCTCTTCAGTTGGGCAAAATCTGTAGTTTTTTTTGTGCACAGGCCTAGGTTTGCCACATGTTTGACCAATTTGCAATGTTTTGAGAGCCCTAGGTAGACAACCCACGATAGAGCATTGTATCTTCCAGATATTCTTTAATGCTGTTATAGGCTTTATTATGAAATAGTGTTTTGAACATTTAATGAATGTAATAAATTAATTTTCTTATTTTTATATATGAAGCCATTTTTAAAATTCTTTATTGCATAATAAAAAGTGAAGAATAGGCGAGTGCCAGTGCAAGTGTAAGGTTAGCTGGTAGGAAATGCCATACATACACTATATATGGCATTCCCTACCAGCTAACCTTCAGGTAGAAATAGAAAGAGTTATAGGGCAGTGATGGCGAAAAACTGTGACAATATCTTATTAATATTATATATATAATTTTCTGAGTATGGATGGATGTTTGTTATTCTTTCACGCAAAAATACTGAACGGATTTTGATGAAACTTTACAGTAATATAGCGCATGTATCAGAATAATATACAGGCTATAAAGAACACGCGAGTGAAACTGCAGGCATAGCTATTATTATGTATATAACTGCGTTCCAATTTATTATATATTGAAATAGACTTTGAGTATATCAACTGAGTGTTTTGTATATTATCAATTCAAGCATCGTATATCATTGTATACATAAAAACTTACCACAAACGTTTTTTTAGTAATACGGTGTCAATTTTCAAATATCCTTTTAAATCCGTATTGATTGGTCACAGAGCACTCGTGGCCCGCTCCGAAATACAATCCGGTTTTTTAATATAGAGCTCCAAAGTTTATAAATATAAGCAATGCAATATTAATTAAAAATATGAATTGGCTGCCTATTTGCCTATTTAAATTAACTGGTTTTTTTTTATAAAAAAGTAACTATTTATAGTAACAGTACATATTATATTTATTAGGAAATAGGTATCTATTTAGAAATGAAAATTATTTATTTCAAGCTCTTATAAAACATAACAATAGTGTAAAATAGTATAATACAATACAATAGCTTATTTTCTTCTTGCAATCCATAAATTTGGTCAAAAGAACTGCATTTTAAAGAGCATTTTAATAGTTTCCTAATTTACTTACCCATAGCGATAATTTTGTACGCAGTACTTCAACCCGGATACAGATCAGTTACCTACTTATATTTAACTATTAAGAGTTATTAGTGTTATTATATTATGAAAATGCCACAAGAAAAAATCAACATAATTGTAAAATAACGTCATGAATCTATCTACATTCATCTTTACAAAAATAGCCTAAAATTGATTTAGTAAGTCATTATTATACATTACGTATAAAACGCCATAGCCGTGTCTATCACCTTCTAAAAACAGAAGAAATTCTTTTCCGGAGCAACCTCGGAAGGAGCGCAGCCTGACGCGCGCAATTGTTTTATTTTTTAACCGGAGCATTGGCGCCAAACAAACCCACAGTCAGTACGAACGCGCTCGTTGGCTGTGCGCATGTGTAGTTTGCGGCCATATTGCCGTTGCTATGGTGACGTGATTTGTAATCAAATAAGCATCCAATAAGAAACTGGTGGAAAATACGGAAAAACTAAATAGTTTGAAGTAGAAAAACAAAATCGTTTCAGTGTTTCATTTTTTTCTTTGCGGTTATAAAATTATGGTGAGTTCGAGTGTACCTATTATATTTTTTTTATTATTTGAAAGTTATTTTGTTTTGATGTTGATTTGGTACTATTGTAATTGCGCATGATCCATAGAGTTCGTATATTAACTGTATAGAATGATCTTTTTTGTTTTAAAGAATGTACCTAATGTGTGCTAAAAAAAATACAAGAAAAGGAACATTAATGTTCTTTGCTCAGTAAATAGAATTACATATTACATAGTATTTAGGTAAAAAATAATTTAGTCTTTAGTACCTACATTAATAAAATAGAACAAGTTAATACACATTTAATTACGTAATTGAAATATATTCCAGCCAGCCAGCATCTCTTCATGTATATAGGTAGTTATTGCATTTATTAGATTCTAATAAACTTTTTTAAGTGTTCATAACTTTTGAATACAATATCCGGTTACTTATTTAGAATACAATTCAATAGGAGAACAATATTATAAATGCAATTCGAGTATTGCAAATAAAATATTAAATTGTACATAACTTTATATATAATTGAAAAATAAGTACTGCATTTTTTTATTTTTTCAATACACCATTTAAACAGTCTCTTGAAATTAAATTAAACACAAAGTAGGTATATAAAGAAGTTAATTAAAAATACATGAATTGGGTTCACAAAAGCACAATGTAATTATTAAAGAACAAAGAAACGTATAAAATGGATATTAGAATTATGCAATGTCAACATTCAAAAAATGTAATTATGAAAACAAAGAAATCGTAACGTCAGAAACCAAACACAATAGCAGTATAGGCTGCGACCTTTTCCCAGTGAAGGGAAAATTGGAAACAAAAAAAATTATTATTAATAGATACGTTTTCTAATACTTTCATTCGTTGCGTTTTATTGATAGTTGCAGTAGTAATTAAATCTTAAGCGTCTTTAGATTGAATCTCGATTGGACTGTGTATGACTTTCACTGGATTGAGTGGTTACCTAAAAGAACCTTATTGGATTGGTTAATCTATAATAATAACTAGTACTTTTTCACAAGACAATCTCTAAATGCAGCATGGCTTCTGTTTCGCTTCCGGATATCTATATTGCGATCTGTTTTACATTTTATTGTTTATAAAATATAATTTTTAATCTTAAACATTTTGGTTCGGTTTAATAATTTATTAGACAAGTCAAAATCTACTTAATTAATTTAAAAAGAACATTTTTAAGTCCTTTGACAATTTCAGTCCAAAGTCATCATAAAGATAGAGTGATTGCTTTCATACTAATATTTAAATACCTATTTAAAAAAAAACTAATACGTGTTGCAATTTTTTTTTTTGGATACTCAAATGTTCAACCATTATTTGAATGTTTGAACTAGTTTCTTTGTGTAACTGTGCCAACGGTTCTTTTTAGGACCATTTCAGTTCTAACGCTTATGAAATGTAACGTTAATTACTCTGTGGTAACTTCAGATTTGAATTCACCGTTCTTTTGGTCTGTCTGCGGTCACCTCAAACTCTGTAGTATTCGTGTACCTATCTATAAATCTTTGTCTATGGTAAGCAAGTATAGATGTTAAATTATTGATATTTATATTATAGGATGTGATATTAAAATATTTGAAATGTACCAGATGAATATGGAATAAAGACAAGCTTCGTATTAGTTCAAAAAACACGTGAAAAATTGGAGATATTTGTAAAAAAATGGGTAGCTACGTATGAGTCATGAGTGTCACATTATAACATGATGTCCATAGTTCTGCTGTTCATGCCTATACATATATATACTAGCTGTGCTCGCGGTTTTGCCCGCGCGAAATTTATAGCCTATATGTTATTTTAATGTATATTATGTAATTTCATATTACATATTCATATTAATTACGTAATACATTTTTTCTATCAATAACTAATTAATACAAAGCAGATCAAATCACAACAATGAAAGAAAACAAGAGTAATAAAACCGTTTTGTTACCGCGGTATATCTAATAGTAGGCTAATGGGAATTAAGAGGATTGTTAGTAATATGGACGATTGTGATGATCTTATTGCTGCCAATAATAATAATAATAATCTCAGGACAATACACACAGCGCCATCTAGACCCAAGTTAAGCTAGCTAAAGCTTGTGTTATGGGTACTAGATAACTGATACAAATACATAGATAATTTTTTCGTAAATACATACATTATTATACATAGAAAACACCCAGACCGATACAAACAATCATACTCATGCATACAAATGTTTGTGCCGTGCGAGGTATCGAACCCGCGACCATCGGACGTAAAGCGGTGTGCTAGACCGCTAGACCACCGAGGTCGTCTACAACTCTGTTTGCGTGGATTTTTTGTATTAAAATGAATGAATCCTAAAATAAAAAAATTGCCTAAGTTACTCAGTTATAACATTAGCTCTTATCTACGTATTAAAGTACCGTCGAAATCAGTCTAGCTGTTTCTTAGATTAGCAAGAATAAACAAACAAAATCATATACTTACGTAATTTTTTTGATGTAAGTACATATAGATATTGTATTACTTTTATATAATTTTATATATAATATAAATAATTTTATATTCAGTGAAAAGCTGTTAATTTGAAATTACAGACAGATACTTTAATTTTATTTATTTCTATATATTGCATATAAACACCCAGATCAATACAAATACAAACTGTCATCCCCAATTTTTTACTTTACGGGTAACAATTTTACAAACTTAATCATATTTATTTACAATATTTAAAGAACAGCTTAAAAAATAAGTTCCATGATTCTAGTTTAAAAATGACGATACTCCTATACAACCCTTTATGTCCCCTTTCAACCCCTTACAAATCTTTACAACCCTTCGCATTTAAAAGTAGCCTATGTCCTTTCTAGTCTAGGTAATTTACTTGTGTACCAAATTTCATTTTAGTAGTTTTGGCGTGAAGGCAGGACAGACAGAGTTACTTGCGCATTTATAATATTAGTAAGCATAATTACAATAATTTTATGGCTTTTATACGAAGAGGTTTCATGTGTTAAAACACGCAGAAATGTTAGGGTCGAATTGACCCTATTTCAGCTTACATCCACCATTGTACATAGTTACATAATAGTCAGATTTTGTATAACAATATCACAAATACAATACAGATGACACTTTTGTAATAATTGTAAAACATTTGGTTCGAACAAATAACAGTACATTAGTATGTAGTGGACCACTGTATTGACTCAGCCGTTACAAACAAAAGGTTTTATATTTAACAATCATTGGAATTCACAAGGTACAGTTAGCAATATGAATGTTATATCTGAATATATGTACATACTATGACTTAAATTACTAATATTTTATGACAGTACAACAATTTTAACTATAAGTATAGCGGTGATTTAACGGTTGAGCGCTCAAGTTAAGTCAAGTTAAGTGCGCGCTAAGTGCGCTGTGCGTTTTTGTTTGGTTGTTGATAATAGAATGGTGTACCCGTCTGGATTAACGGATTACGCTGGCGGGGTCCCAGTGGATGATCAGATGATTATGAAGTCAGTTAGTCCATCATGACAAATGTACCAAGAATTTGTCAAGATTTCTAGGGGGGACCGCGTGGAGGTTAATTTGACATGGTACATTGCAAATAATGAGGTCATTAGCCCACATTACGAACAATACCTTTCCCCCCGCGGGTTCGATTCCTGGCACGTTACACACATTTGTATTCATACGTGTGAACGTTCGTATTGGTCTGGGTATTATTGTATATGCGTTTATGTATGTATTTACAGAAAATATTTAATTATTTATATCAGTTATCTAGTACATATAACACAGCTATGCTTAGCTTGGTACTAGATGGCGCTTGTGAATTGTTCAGGAAAATTATTCATTTTGGAGTCGTTCTACTTTTTTACAGTAATCTATACATATAAATAAAATTGGAGTGTCTGTTTGTAATATTGAAATAACCGTTTTTCACCACATGCATACAAAATAACATATTTTACAATTTTTGACTGTCTATCTGTCTGTCTCTCTGATATGGCTGGATCGATTTTGACGGAACTTTTTTTTGGCAGGTGCTGATGTAATAAGGAGTAACTTAGGCTATTTTTTTTTTAGAAAAGTAAAGCTAAATTCCACGTAGACGAAGTCGCGGGAATAGCTAATATGTAATATATTTTGTATAGTAATCAATATCTAGGGTAACCAATAAATTTTAGCGTCACTCAAAGATTCAGTTTTCAATATATTAAAATAATCAGTAATATTAACAAATTCGAGTGTTTCTCAGGTCATCCAGTAAATAATTTATTAGTGTATAATGTTATTTATCAATACTAACAATAAGTGTAACTGAACTGACTAATCTTGGTCACTATTAAAAGATTGGGACGAACGAATGTTAATTTAAACTTATCTTTACTAATATATGTTATCTGTGCTAACTGCTAATACTATAAATGTGAAAGTAAGTCTGTCTGTGTCGCTTCACGTAAAAACTATGGAACCGATTTAAATGAAACTTGGTACACAGATAGTCTAGGGCCTGAGAAAGGACATAGGCTCCTTTTTCATGTGAAGAAAGGGTTGCAAGGGGGAACAATTGTAAGGAAGAATGGTCCTTTTTTTAAGCTAGAATCTTGAAACTTATTTTTAAGGCTGTACATTGTATTGTATGGAATTTATTGTATTGTGTCGTCATTTTTGAAGCTAAAACAATACAATTATTTATTTGACTTTTATTGTGTTAGGTCAATAATTTTTTTTTTTTATTATTTATGCGTACAAAGTCGCGAGTACAGCTAGTATTATTTATATATTTTAAAATTGTATCATAAATAGGTGTCACCTTTTATCTTAAAGAAACAGATGCAGTGGCGGGTCAATGTTAGTTATAAATATGTTACACTAATAACACAACACATGTTATACTAATTTTCATTTTTAAAACGCAACCAACACTTCATTTGTCAGAATTTGTAACAAAATATAAAAGTGACTAGTCACTTAAATTATATATTTTTTTTTAA